GTGCCTTCCTACAGGACATATCATATTGGGCAGGCAACCACAGAGGAAGGGTGTACTATCAAACGACTTCTGTAAAACTTGCAGGTAAGAAGAGAAACCTGAAACCTCAGGGCATTGCCTTTGAGAATACCTCGCACTTCGGAGCAGTAGGGAGCGAGTGATACTACGAATGCTCAGTTTTGCAAACTTTACAGATTAGTTTGATTAGCGGATGAGGTTTTGGTGGCCGGGGTGGGTTGAAGCCCGGCAAAAACTTCAACCCACCGACCACAGCACAACGCACTACTAAACTTTTATGTTTTATATTTCATTCATTTTCTTTTTTAAAGCATTATGTTAGATTCTTGGCAAAAGTTATCAGTGAGTGGTGAATAAAGACATTTCTTATACTTATACCTCAACACTTTGTATCACCTCAACATACAACAATTTATAGCAAATTTTCGAACATCAAAATACTAATATTTTAATACTTACAATTTGTAGCAAAAACCAACGGTCGCTTGCTACTGCCACTTTGAGTTAAAATAAGATTTCAGTATTGATTTTTACATGTTTTAAATTTTCTTTCACTTTATTTTATTTATTAATAATTTTTATTCGTTATTAGCAGCTGTATTTACTGTCTTTTGATCACTTTTGGGCTTAATTTTGTTAGCCGAAAACTGAGAATTTTAAATTATTAAATGTCTAATGGTTTTTAAATATGATTTCCTTTTTTGATTTATTAAATTTGCTAGCTTTTTTTTATTTATTACTATATTTTTATTACATTTTGTATTATTTAATTTAATTTTCTTTGTTTCTTAATTGCTACAATATAATTACATTTTATGTCTAAACTTTTATTTCACATAATAATTGCTGGCGCATTCAATTTGTATGTGTGTGTGTTTGTAATTTAACTCTTATGGTTGCTGTATATCTTGATTTGATTGCGTGTATTTCTGTGTGAGTGTGCTTGTGTTATGTTTGGTTAACAGTTTGTAAAATGGCTATGTTTTGGTTGCAGCTACTGTTTGCTAATCGTATAAAATGCATGAATTTGTTGGTGCTCATTTACACAATGTGGTTTGCCAAAGGGCTAATGAAATGGTAGCTTAAAAAACAAGCTTTTTGCAAAAAGTAATCTACGGAAAAAATATTGCATGCAAGTGTTTATTTCGCGTATTTTTTCTGAATATTTACTTTACATAAATTTTTTTTGTTATTGTTTTTGTATGCGTTAAAATTTGTTGTGTTTTTTTGATTTTTTTTTTGCATTTTGCTGAAATTTAATTTGAAAATTTTTTCCCTCTTCTACAAATTTGCATTTAAATTCATTTTATCGCCTGCACACTTTTTAACACTATTTATTTAATTTCTTTTTTATATTATAAATTTACTTCTCTTTAATCCGTGACAGCTTAATTATGTTTGTTTAAGGTAATTTAGCTTTAAAAGTTTAAAAAATCTCTAAACTAGTTTATCTTCTTTTACATTTTTTCTATGCTAAATATGTTAAATATTTACAATGGCATTAACTACCGCACATACGCAGGTATGTACATATATATGTATATGCCCTGCAGGAAAATGCCAACTAGTTTGCAAAAACTCTAGTTAAATACTAGTATTTTGAAGATAAAATCAAGAAGCTCGTTATTTGTAGAGAAGTTCACCAGTAACGGGAGAAATAATAATTTCCACCAATTGTTATATCAGTGCGCCGCAGCTGAATTAGATTCTCTTCTCTGTTCTATTGGAGTGCACAAAATGACGTTGCCTTATCACGAAGTAATGCCGAGTGTTTAAAGGTTTTCGCTGTATCACATTTGTCTCACTAGAGGCAAATTAATTCGTTACTTCCTTTTTTTTTCTTAATTTTTGGTGAGCCAGAAATTTGTATCACTCCATCAATCGGATGTTGTTGTTGTTATTAGTATGGCACGGCAGAGTTTCATTCCCTAAAAATTTCTTTTGAACTGAGAAGATTCGTTGCTCTCTATATCATAATGATACTCTGGCGGTTAGAGGTCTTCACTGTGGTGCGTAAGGAGCTCGGTGCGTTTCTCGCAGCCGTCAAACTCATTTTTATTTTATTTTTTTCTTTATTTAGTTTTTTGGTGAAGTTGAAATTCAAAATGCCGAAATGTACTAGTACATAGCTAGTATGAAGCCATTGCTTAGTAGGACGATTGCCACCTCGTAGGACATCGCCGTGTTGAAAATACCAGTTGCTTACATGGAAAATAGATGGAAGATGAACTAGTTGGTGTACAAATGTGAACTAGTTGGATTCTAGTTGACAAATAGTATTTTTGCCTGCAGCTTGTATACATATGTGCAGATAAATATATGTATATATGTGTTTATAATAAATACGCTCGATAAAAGTTAATTATTAATTAAAGATAAGCCGATTTACATGCATACACAGCTTTATTTGCGTATTATCAATGCCAAAATATATATATTTATTGTTTATTTTTAAATTTATATTACATACATGTAAGAGTTTGCTTAGTTATGCATACTGAATAAATATTATTTAATTTTTTTTTTCTCGCTATGATGTGTCTTTTTTCTCTAAATAAATATGAATGTATTATATATTAAATAAGCAATTTTTTACACACTTTTTCAATGGTACAGTACACAACATTAGCTTAATTTAATTTATTGCAACCAAGTCTATGTGGAAATTCATACACGTAGATAATATTTAGTAAAGCATACATACGTATATATTTTTAGCAAATATGTATTATAATTTTTTTTTTATAAAATTGCCTCAAATGCTCTTAAAGCGTAAATAATTTTATAAAATTTTTTTAAGCACTAACTTTAAGCTCAGTGTCAGTTTCTAGGTGAAAAAGTCAGTTCTCCATATCGTTGGGTAAGGGTTAAAGCGGAGATTGTGACCAGCATAGAAGATTATTAGATTTTTATGAGCTCTTGTTTAAAGTTATATAATTTATTTTATTTGCGTAAAATAATAACAAGAAACTACAATAGGGCAATGAGTATCTTCATGTAAATTAATAAGTAAAGGAGCAACTATGGGTGGAAAGCGAGGTCAGCAACGTTGGGGAAATTTTAAATATATTTTGTGGCATCCATGACACTTCCACGAACCTATCTCAAAACGCATTTAATGAATCATTTGCCAATTAATGCAGTCTTTGCAGCAGTTATCTAATGTGACAAGAAACAATGAAAACTGTCGTGGAACTTAATGGCGATAAAGGCAAGGGTAGCGAAAACAACCACAATTATAATGATCATCCTGCGGTAGGGAATCACGTTAGAGCTCAACAGTTTGTTCATCATTTCGAAACAAATTAACTTAATAATAAATTAATGTCAGTAAGTTTAATTATGCAATAAAATATTTATAAATATAAAGATACTTGAAACTTAATCTTACTCTTTAAAAGATACAAAACCACATAAACTATATATAGTGTGTTACTGCTAAACATTGGGTAAATTCAGATCTTGGAATCTGTAATACATTTCCCAATTTCAAAACATCTCATTTTATCTCTAATTTTTAGATTGTAAGGTGTTCAAAACCCATTTGGAATGTTCGGGTTCAAATTCCAAAACGGCCAACATCCAAAAGGTATAGAAAATTAATTTAAATAAAAAATTAAACTAAATGTTCTAATTGCGGTAGCCCCTCGTCAGGGAATGTCAACCTCTCCGAGTGTATTTCGGACATAAGATAAAGCTCCTCATATATCTAAGGTGTTTAATTTGTAAAATAAAAGTTTTTGGTATTTCCTATCAACCAAGTCTTAATCATTTATATTATTGTTGAATTAGTGATAACGTATAAATTTTTTACAATTGTGGTGTTTGTATTATACACCCTTGAGTTTGGTGTGTAAATATCGAATAAGTCACCTGTTCCTCCAGTAGTCGGCCCATGACTACTCGCTTTAGCTGGCTGCCTATTTTATCCCATTTTTGCATTAAATACTTGCTTTGCTATACATTAATAATTTAATAACTAATAACTTATGCAAATGTGTATATGTATGTTGCGATGTGATGATCTTGATGTGGTGATATTTTGGTGTGATTTGATATCATGTGATGTGATATCATGTGACGTAATGTGTTCGTGATTTTTATTGCTCGAGCTGAAAACCTCTGAGTATTGGCTTGCCAAAGCACACTATATATAGAATTTGGAAAGCATTAAATACCCAGAGTGAAGGATGAGAAGTCTTGCTCAATTCTTTCCAGAAAAACGAATAATATCTTAAGAAACTATTTTGTTGCTGTAAACAAAAACACCTTAGATGGAGCATGAAGTATTTAACTGCATATACAAATAAATACGCTTGCTGGCCAAAGTATACCCTAAGTTCAAAATTAAATATTTTCACTAAGGCAATATTTTTCAAAAATATTTTTCAAAAAAAATTTTATATAATATTTTCATATAATATTTGGAAAACCAAGTTCTTTTATAACGTTCGCTAAGTTGATCAGCGGGTTATGATATTTTTAAAACAGATAAATGTTCTATATTTAAGTGTTAAGCTAAATGAAGTTTCCCAGTTTTGTTATTAAGTTTTTTTGTCATTTTGTAAACTCTTCCTTTAACCTGTTCTGTTGCCAAAATTTTCTCGCCAACAACCAAATGTCAGTTTTCTGCAATCAATATATAAATTATATTAAACTCGAAATTCTCCTTCGAACATTAAGTTTTTTCAAATCATACACTTTTATGTAAAGAATTTTTATCATTTTGTTATTTTTGATTCTGAAATTAATTCGTTATTTGAATTAATTTCTCGACCCAATAATTTTCTCAGGTTAAGTTGTAAGCAAAGTAAGAAATAAATTAGAGTTTGAAATGCTTTTGAGTTGCTACAAAAAAATCTTAAATCTTTATAAACATCTTACTTGGAAGTGATATTTTTGGAAAAAAATTAGCGATTTTTATTTTACACCTACATATGTTTCTAACTTTATATATATATATACATATAAATGTGTTTACATACATTTTTATTTTCCTATATATATATTTCTACTTTACTTACACATCTACTAGCACTGACTGCTGTTCACTAATCTTATAGATTTTATACTAATAACTAAATTACAACGCCACAACTTATTTACACCTGCGTTCCGTAATACTACAGTGACACATACTCCGTACCGCCGCCCACATCTACCAGCTTCGAGTTACCGTTCACGCCCGAACTCACCACCGCCACTTGTTGTTGACAGTCTTGTTGTTGCTGCTGATGCTGCTGCTGCTGCGCTTGCTTCATGTTACGCGCTTCCTCAATAAAACGCGTCTCATCCTCCACTCCCTCCTCGTCGGCCTCGTCGGGCAGCGAGAGCGTCGAATTGCCACTCGCGGTAAAACGCCGACCCATATTATCATATTTGAGACCCGCATTGCCAGTGGCTGTACCACTCTTACAAAGCGGTCGCAGCGGCGTCGCATCCAGCGCGGTGGTGGGCGGCGTGCTACAAGAAGGCGGCGGTGGTGATAGTGTGCCTTTGCAGGCGGCACAAGCTTTGGCATTGATGGCCGCTGCCACCGACGCTTGATTGTTTGTGTGGTGACACTGCGTAGACATAGCTGCAGCAACCGCGGCAGGTGGTGGAGGAGGCGGCGGTAGACCAACAATATTAGCGGCGTAAGCCTGACGCTGCTGTTGTTGCTGTTGCTGATGCTCTTGATAGCCTTGACTGTAGGTGGTGTCCAGATTGTGATACGAGACAATCTCGTCGTGTGGATACAAATTCGTTTGTTTTTGTTGTTGTTGCTGCTGCTGCTGTGAGTGTTGCAGTGAATGTTGATGCTGCAGCGTTGAGTCTTTCTTGAGTATGCCACGGCGTTGATGATTGCGCGGCAGCGTCGCAAATGAGGACACATTTACAGCAGTTGTGGTGCCCGACCCCGTCGTAAGCATGGTGTTGGTCACATTCGAATTGCCCGCTCCCCCACCACTACCGCTCGTGACACTGACACCCGTCTGCATGCTGTTACCATCCGCGCTCATTTGATGCTTTGGTAAATTCAAGAGGTCGGGGTACATGCTTATGTCCGTGCCGTCCAGCATATCCTGCGTCACAGAGACACTGATAAAGATGTTACCATACGCGGGATTGGGCACAATATTGGAGCAAAACTCCGGTGGCGGTGGGAAAACGCCTACGTTAAGTGGAAACTCTTCCGGTATGGGGTTCGGATATGTCGCCGTGCCGCCAGATGACGCCATGGATGTAGGTATACCGACGACACTACACGAACCGTCGGCTACAGCCATCAATTGCTGTCGGCTTGGCGGCATCATGGCGTTTGAGCCACCGGCGCCTGCCATGTGCGCATGATGTTGTTGTATCTGCTGCTGATGTGCCTGTTGATGCGCCAGCTGGTGGTGATTATGGTTGGCGGCAGCGGAGGCTCGTAAATTTTCCGTTGCATGTATTTCAATGGGCTCAAAACCGATTACAGACTCTGTCTTACTCATTGTTGTTGTGGTATTGTTATCCATATTACAGCTATCGCCACGATCGGCTGTCGTCGTTGTAATACTCAAATCGAGCAGCTTTTTCTCCTGGTCATTGAAACTAACACTTGGTTTAACGCCAGACTTTTTGGGATGCCGTCGCTGTCTCGTTGTACGCTTGAAGAAACAGACGACGAACGAAATGAGTATCAGAAGAAAGATCGTGCCAAAGGTACCCATAATCAAGCCGAAGTACCAAAAAGTCTCGGGGGTTTTCACCAAAACATGTTGCACAATTTCCGTCAGATATATGCTGATATTCTGCGACGACACACCCACCACATTTGCGCCAATGCAGGCATAAGTGCCCGCATCTAAGCTTGTCATATTGAACACCGTTAAGTTGCTCCACAGCTTATCCGACGAAATTGATTCGGCATCGAAGATGACATTGTCATTATCCAATATTTTGCCGTTCAACTCCCACGTGACCTCGGGCAGGGGATCACCATAGACCAGACAGCTGAAAGTCGTATTGCTACCGATATCGATATTTTGTACGTCTTCATTATTGAAGAGCTCCACACGAGGCATACAACCAAATAGCTCTTCATCAACATTCTCCCATTGTTTGTCCTTCTGTGCTGGCGGTCCCTTGCACAGCAGACTGATGCTATTTAATTTACTCTTCACATACCAATTGCGAAACTTGCGCAGCTTGCAATTACACTGCCAGGGATTCTCATCCAAGACCAGCGTTTTCAGATTGGTCATATGCTGGAAGACATATTCGCTAAGGCTCTCCAGTAGATTGTTCTTCAGGTAGAGAAACTCCAGTAGATTAAGATTCGCCAAAGCCATTGGATCCACATATGATAACAGGCAGTCATGCAGATCCAAAGTGCGTAGATGTGGAAGTATGGGAAATTGATAGGCAACCAAACGCTTCAATGGATTGCCATTCAGGTAGAGTATGCGCAGGCGATCATTGCCCATAAATGTGTCTTTGTCGATCATTTCGATTTTGTTATCTGACAGATCGATCTCAACAAGTATTTTCAGATTACGAAATGTCTCTTTGTGTACATATTGCACCTCGGACTTTTTCAGGTAGATGCGTTGCAGGTTCAGTAAGCCCAGATTCGTGAATTCCTCACGATTTAGGTAGGGTATGTGGTTGTCGTTCAGCACGAGCACTTGTAGCTCTGTACTCAGTGTGGTTGGTATGGTTGTGAGTTGCAGTGAACTGCAGATGGCCGACTTTTTGCCATTCGTCCATTTACACGTACAGTTGGAGGCACAACTCGCCGACCAATCATCGCCAGCGGCTTGTGGCAGCAACATTACCAGAATGTTGAGCACGAGGGAAACTGTGGAAGAGAATAGAAAATGTATAAAATTGGTGGGTAATGGATTTATTGAGTGTAATCTCGGTTTCTAAGGTCTGCTTTGATAATTACAGTTTGAGAGCTTAAAGGATAGGTTCAAAAATCATAGAATTGCAAACAGAATGCTTGTTAAATAGGTTTGGAATTCTGCAAAGCTTTAGAAATATTGAGCTTCTTGGCTTTATATTCTTCTTAAAAAATTCATCCAGGACTAATATCATAATTTTTTTAATAAATTGAATAAAAAGCATTCTCAATATAAGATTTTGCTTCAAAAATAAAGAAGAATTTTCTTTAGTAATAAAAGGGTAAAATTAGCGCCAAAAAGAAACGTAAACACATACCAAAATTATTCTCATTTGATTTTATGTCTATTAAGAAAAAAATCAGAGTCTCTCTGAGAATTATAGTTTTTAAAATATTTTTTAATTTTATTTTTTTTTAATGAACTCTTTCGCACACGGCGACTGAATGAACACATAGGGTTTTCCAATAAGAGGTGTTGTTTTGATATTTTAGGAAACTTTTCCCTTAAAAGATCGACGGTTTCATTGATTGTATGTCACGTAGCGCCGACTTGCTTAAAGTAAACATTATCTAGATCAATACCATCGAATTCCGACCATAAAAAATTATTATTTACTATGTCTCCTTAGCGCAATCCATTCACCGTAACTATTGCTCCAGTCTTATTTTCGAAAAAGTAAGTTGCAATGATCCCGCCAGACCATAAACCGCACAAACGGTTACACGTTGAGTTTTGCTTATTGAGTCATCGAGATGGAAACGGGACACAAAATTTGATGAAATTTGTATAGGGAATTTTATTATATTCAATGAATTATTAAAGCGTGTATCGTTTTATTTTTATTGTCACCGCAGCTTTGATTTTTCAAATATTAAAAAATTACAGCTTCAAAGCTCTTCTACTAAAATAGCAAGCTATTCAAAATAACACCTTTTATTGGCAAACCCTTTGCAGAATCACTGCCAAAGTTGCATACTTAAAAGAAAAAGTCACTTTTTCCCAACTTAAGCCAACTGGTCCTGTATCGATACTTCAATATTTTTATATAAATGACGCTTTGTAACTGCTTAAGCGATTTGCATCCGAGCTTCTCCTCAAATTTTTGGTATGAATCTTGAAGTCTTTCCAAAAAATGGAGCGACCTGCAGTTTATGCTAAGCCACCTCCGAACGGCTGATGGTTTTATATGAGGAATTTTTTTTATTTTATGTAAGAAATACACCCGAAGTGTATTGACATTCCCACATTATTAACTATATTAACAGCTTTTAAACGCTTCTATCAAAACGATTTTTCAATTATATATTGCATTACACCGGCATACTATTTTGTAATAAAAAAATAAATAAAAATGAAAAACCCGCTTATTGCTGTTGACCATTTTTAAAGTGCAAACATTTTTTCGATCGTTCGCTCTTTAGTTACCATAAATCACTTCATGCCGATGCAGATATGAAAATCAAAAGCGACTTTTGGCATATCAATAGCTTTGCTTTTGCGATGAAAAACCCTTTGTAGTATGTGTCATACATAAATCAGCGTAAAATGCAATGTTGCACAATATGTGCCACACAAAAGCAAAACAAGAAAAAGAAAAATATGCGTATGCTTGCAACACTTGCAATATGCTTATACAATGCACAATACATTTAAGTGAATTTGAGCTCACATTAGGGCATTCTTAATTCAAAAAGTTCGACTATCATTTTTTTTGTTCGCTTTGCTTTTCTTAGGAAATTAAGAGTGCCTAAAAATTATTAGAGAAAAATAATAATTTTACAAAAAAATTTTCACATTGAATACACGTGCTGTGATTCTTTGCAGGCAGCTTAATAATTGATAGACTAACGAATATGAATTGAAAAATTTCTAGAAAAAAATAGAGCAGGTTTGCTTAGAGTTAGAACAGAACAGGGCAGTCACTAAGCATTACAGTGAGTAAGAGCACTGCAGAGCGGAAACTCATGAGAAACTTTTTTTTGAGCAACAATGTCTAACTGCGAATGATCGGCAATTTTAGTTAATATGTAAGATTATTATTAAATTTCTTTTACTAAATGTTAATTTTTGATTTTCAGTGAATATTCCTTCTGTACTTTATTGGTACTTTACTGGCCAGTAGACAAAGTGCACTATGCCATTATAATAAAAGAACCCCATAGTAAACGTTCACTTATGACCGCAATATCAAAGCCTTTTTCAGTCTTCGCGAGGCAAAATGCCTTTACTGCGATTAAATTTTTTTGTCCCTCGTTTCATAACTGAAATATTAAGAAAGCTGTAATCGCTTGATCGATTCGATCTGCCAAAATCATCAGTATTTTTTCTCATGCCCATTTCTCAGAGCAAAAAAGAAGTAAAATTTTGGTATTGTGGTTACCCCTCGGCAGGGAATGTCAATCCATCCGAGTGTAGTTCTGAGATGAAATAAATAATAACAAAAACCATCAGCCGTTCGGAGGAGGCACGATTCGTGTTTTGTATCACCGTCAAACATTTTCAGTTTGGCCTATAATTTAGCCATGCATCATCTTACAAACGAACAACGCTTGCAGTTATTGAAATTTATTATCAAATTGCGTGATCTGTTAAGAAAGTTCATTGCGAGCTTCTTCCGCTTCGAAGCCCTTTTGGAGTTAAGATCAGCCAGAAGCTAGCAATGCATCCAGAAAAAGTCATAGCTTCTAGCGGTTTATAGGTGGCATTACGGGACCGTACTTCTTCTAAGATGATGCGAGATGTAACGTAACTGGGAATGGTGAGCACTACTGTGAGATGATATCAAACTTTTGTTTGTCCAAAATGCAAGAGCTAGACTTACATTACAAGTGGTTTCAACAAGCTGATGCCACATGCCGCACAGCACGCGTAACAATCGACTTATTGGGAGTCGAGTTCTGTGGACATTTTATTTCACGTTCAGGACCGGTAAGTTGGCCACCTAGATTGTGCGATTTAACGCCTTTAGACTATATTTTGTGAGCTATGTTAAATCTTAAATGTCTATACAGACAATCCCGCATCAATTAACGCATTGGAGGACACTATTGAAGCATTTATTCGTGAGTTACAGGCCGAAATGTTGGAAAGTGTATGCCAAGATTGTACTAAAAGGATGAACAATTTGAGGCGCAGCCACGGTCAACATTTGCATGAAATAATCTTCAAACATTAAATTATATGGACCGTACTATCGATTCAAATAAAGACTTCATAGATTTTTCTAAATTTTATGTGCTTTTTATGAAAAACTGTTCTAAAGCTTATAGAAAATCACCCTGTACTTCCCACAGATAAAGTGTTCCCCGTCTTTAAAATGTGTAAAATGCTTTCTATAAAATACAATGATTCATTCTATGGGTTGATCCGCTAGTCATTTAGGACAAAGCTTTTTAAATACATAAAATATACATATAGAGTAACGATCTAAAGAATGTAAGAATTAAAAAACATAAAACTTAGGTAATTTTGAAAAAAAAGAAGAAGACAAACATAAAACCTACATAAAAAAATATATAAAAACTAATATATATAGAGGCATTGAAGAATCGTGCCCTGTTTTGTAGCTCTAATTTAGGTAAGGTAAGTACTTGCGCTATTAATTATGCTTATAAAAATGTAATTTCCCTCCAAGGTTATCATTTCAGAGATAGTTTTTATATGTTTTTCACGTTTTTTAAAATTTGTATTAAGAAAATTTTGCTTTGCAGTAATCTGAGAGACCTATAGACGATATATATAAAAATTTAAACGATTTATTTATGCGCCAATATTAGCTTATTTCACTCACCTTAATGCATACATAATCACATATGTTAGTACACATGGTAATATATAAATATATAACGCACAGAATACACTTTTGCACCGACTCACCTGACAAGCAAATTGCGACACAATTTCTGCTCATATTTGCTGGCATTGCCTTTTCCACGTCACACAATCGAATGGCTATCGCTCAATATCTTGTTATTGTTGTTGCCTTTGTTGTTGGTTGCGTTGTTGTTTTACCACTAGTCGTCGTTATTGCTGCACTTGCTGCATATACTTTACCGTTATAACTGCTATTAACGCCAACACCGTATTTTTCGCGTTCACTTGCCAATGTTTCCACCGCCCCCGCTACCCAACTAGAAGTACGCCAATATATAATTTCTATGTATTGGCTGAGATGGGCTTCGAAGGATGGCGTTTTAAATGCGTTGCAGTCAGTTGTCGAAGCGAAATACGGTACCGTAAAATACCTTAGCAGCGATGGCGGAAGATGAAGAGAAGATAAGTGAATGTGTCACAACCAGAGCGGCGGCTGTTGGGCCGCTACTCAGTTTGCCGTTTTGTATGAGTAATCTTAGTGCAGGAGCACAGCTGTGCTACTGCTGGTGTGTCGTTGGCGCCTTTCGACCGGAAATAGTACAGCAACGTATGCCTGCTTCGATATCAGCAAACTAATGTGGCAACATGCGGTGCGAATATGACTGTGTTTTTTTTCTTGTTGCTGTCGCACATCATGCGAAACGACAATTTCACTGGGACCTCGACTGCTGGTGTTATGGGGGCTGATGCTAGTACTATCGGTGCGTCTGGTGGTGATAGCTACTCTACGGCGTCGTACAAGTTGTCGTCGTTTGCGTCGTCGTTGGGTGAATTGTTGTTGCGAACTTTTTAGGTCTCGATTTATTTGTTGGTTCACACCGTCTCTTATATGTCGGTTGCCATAAACTGTTGCACGGTGCGTATTATTGTAGAGACGTTGGAGACTTTTCTTGCAGCTGCTGCTGCTGTTGGTGTTGTTGTTGCTACTTCTGCTGCTGCCACCTTTGCTTTGACGAAAATTGATGAAATTTGCTTTCAACTCTTGTAGCTGAGCGCGCTGTGAGTCCAATGAATAGTGATCATGGTTGTTGTAGTAATGCCACTGCTGTTGTTGCTCCCCATGCAAAGCCACCAACATCACTGCCAATGCGTGGCCGCTGGCACTTTATACCCTTTCGCTATTTTTTCTGGTTTTTTTTTGTTTTGTTCGCCTTTCTTTACTCCGCTTGATGCCCTTCAGCGTGGTTTTTACACATTCAATACTTTTTGTCTTTTATTTTTGTTTTTTTTTTGTAGTTGCCAGTTGGTATTTTGCTGAGTGCACATTTAAAATGAAAAGAAAAATTCGTAATTCGTTTTCCAGCTATGCGTTGTTGCTGTAATTTTTTTTCAATTTCTTGTAATTGTTGTTGTTGTATGAAATTTTATTATTTCATTTGTTTTCTGCGCTGTGCGCTCTCACAGGTGCTGCCACATTGTTGCAAATGCGTTTCACTTGCTATTTTAACCCTTTTTTATGCAGCATGCCACATGCCACATGCCACACAGTACTCGTGTTGCACACGTTTCACTTCGATTGTTTGCTCCGATCGCAATTCAGCAACTGAATTGGCAATTTTTCCTCCATTCAGTCGCTCTTTCACACGTTCACACGCCGAGCCTTTTTTTTTTTGCTACTCCAACAACCTTCCTCGTTTCCTCTACTCAGGTGACAATGTTGCAGCGGCGACATCTGTGTTTGGTGCAGACATATTTTTTTCCTTTTTGGCGCAGCTGTGTTGCTGATTTCGCCGATGGTCGCTCGTAAGTCCTCTATATTTGCTACACTTGAACGCACCTCAGGCTGACGTTTTTATATTTTGTGTTTTCTTCGTTCCGCGAGCCTGAGTGCTTCGCTGTCGCCCGTTTCCCTTTGCCCGTGCCACCTGCAAATGTAACAAGGGAAAAAACGAAATGGATATTACATTTTTTTGATTTTGTTTGTCTTATTTTAATTTGCATGTGGCGTGCTTGTAATACATAAAAAGATACGCGTTGCTGAGGAATTAAAATTTTTTTTGAATAATAATAGATTATTTATACTACATGCTCAGCACAAGGTATGTATGTAAGTATGTACATGGAGTACAACCTTTTTGGTGCAACTAATACTGGTTTGTGGCAACGCTTCAACGGAAGAGAAGGACGAAAGGACCCAAAATACTTTGTATGTGCACTTAAAATGCGCCTATAAGCGCTGCCCAGCCACGAAATGAAAACTCTGCTTGGCGACTTTTACGCCAGAATGAACAAAGAACGCCCGTCAACAAACACATCTCATTTCATCGCCGATTCGATATAAAGGAACTGTGGAAAGGTATCTCAAATTTTCTACATAACGCCGCTACAGAAACATTTGTTTTTCGGCAGTCCAGAAACAGAGCTGGTACGATGAAGAAAGTCGAACTGCATTGGAGTGAAAACAGACTGGACTGTCTACTTCGCAACACTGCTATCGACCACAAAACGTATGGGATGGAGTAGATGTCGAAGGCTACAAGCCCAGAGCAACCAAAGTGAAAATCTGGTGACAGAGAATGCTTGGTGTATAAAGAGAACACTTCTCTAGCCTTCTAAATAGCAGTGAAAATGCAAGACCTGGATATGGCAAATCCGAAATCTAACAGATGATGATGGAGAAGACGTAGACGACTTTATTGAGGATCGAATAGAGATCGCTTACTTAAGGAACAACAAAGTGGCTGAAGCTGATGGCTTGCCTGAAGAGTTATTCAAATTTGGTGCTGAAAGCTGAAAAGGTGCATGCTCAGCTTCTTTGCAAGACATACTCGAATGAAAGTATGTATGCCTGAGGATTGGAATCAAAATATACTCTGACCAACCCATAACAACCGGTAAAAAATCAGATAGGACCATATTCACCAAGAGTAGAATCTATACAAATCTTGTTTTCTTTGATTGCAAAAGCTGCCAAAGTCACGAGCTGCCTCTCCGTCCCTATTTCTGAATTTGGTAGCTCCGCAAAATTTATATACGATTATGAACACTGACGTTAAATAAAAATAAATGCACCGTTCGATACCAAATGAGCTTTCCGACATGGTCATTCTTTATTATGTGATCAGCCAGTAAAGCGGCACGCACAGAACATGACCTCAACGAGATAATGGATACGAAAGGATAATAATTTTAAGGACATAAAATACAACCCAAAGTATTTTAAGAATGACTAAACTTCTTTAGAGATTTTTAAGGTTATGTGAACAATCTGTTGCTCTGCTTTCGATAAGCAAAAATATATGTTTTGCATAAAAGAAAAAAAGTTCTTTATTTGGAAATTCAGTTTAGATTTTATTACCAATTTTTTCAAATATGTATTCTTATTAAAGTATAAAAATATGTGCGTGGCCAACTTGTTTGAATTTCCGAGGTCGAAGATATTTTCTATTCAATATTCTCCACATCGTAGGTCCTCCGTATTTTACACTCATCTTTGACTCTATTTCACCGTGGGAGTATTCAAAATTTGTGCTCTCTTTCGAGGATTCGATGATGCTCTCTTTTTTACCATCAGTGATCCAGGAAGATTACGAGATAAAATCCGTGCGGCAGCAGCAGCTCCGACAGGTGATGCCGACGCTGGTTTATATAATTTTGTTACTGTTGAACGACGCTCGTACTTCTCATGAACCTCGGCCGAGTAACGTCGCAAGATAAGTGCAAGGGATTCCATAAATTCGCGTTGGTTTTTAATTTGAATATTACCCATTTTAATAATATTTCTTTCGACTACTCGCCGGACTGTCCGTGCATCTAATGCGGTTAAGAAGTACGTAATGTTGAAAATATTAAACTAGTATCCTTTATATACAAAAGAGCATACAAATTTCCTATGAACTCGAGACGCTCTTATTGTGAGACGTACATACCTAACCATGAGACACTCTATTGTTATATTCAGGCCATCAACGACATGACCTATTTACGCTAACGCATAGAAACATATCTTTATTTACGAACATTTTGCTGAATATGTATGCAGAGAGGCTCTTGGAAACAAAAGGTATCCTAAAAAATTCACTTTTTTGTTTTTGGTTATGTGTTTACATTTTTCTGCTTTTCTTCAACAAGACCATCTCTCTCTTTCCATTGCTTTTATCCTATCTCTCTCTTTCTCTCTCTCTCTTTCTTTAAACCGGATTATGGGCAATGTTGGAAAAATAGCCATTTCAGGTAAGAATGTAAAATTCATGAGTTAAACTAAAAAAATTGCATTCGAACCAAAACGAAAGATAATAAGCTGTGCGTTACAAATTATTAAAAGTATTTTTACTTAGGATATTTCAGTTTTATTTTCCTAAAATTTAATTAATGATCTTATTTTGCTTCATTTTATTTACTTTTTTATTTTATAAATTATGTTAATTTTTTTATTTTACTTATTTAATTCAAACTATTTTTCTTTGATTTATACCTTTTCTATTTATTTTAAAAGTTATAGTTATTTTTTTTATTTTATTTGACATTTTCTTTAATTTTATTGTTTTTATTCTTAATTCTTTATTTTATTTTTTTACATTTTATTTTGTCTTATTTATTTTGTTTATCTTCTTTCGTTTTATTTAATTTTCATACATTTCATTTTACTTTATTCTGTTTTATATTTTAATATTTAATTTTGTTTGTTTTATTTTATTTTATTTTATTTTATTTTATTTTATTTTATTTTATTTTATTTTATTTTATTTTATTTTATTTTATTTTATTTTATTTTATTTTATTTTATTTTATTTTATTTTATTTTATTTTATTTTATTTTATTTTATTTTATTTTATTTTATTTTATTTTATTTTATTTTATTTTATTTTATTTTATTTTATTTTATTTTATTTTATTTTATTTTATTTTATTTTATTTTATTTTATTTTATTTTATTTTATTTTATTTTATTTTATTTTATTTTATTTTATTTTATTTTATTTTATTTTATTTTATTTTATTTTATTTTATTTTATTTTATTTTATTTTATTTTATTTTATTTTATTTTATTTTATTTTATTTTATTTTATTTTATTTTATTTTATTTTATTTTATTTTATTTTATTTTATTTTA